TCCATCCTTCCTTCCTTCCCTCCATCCTTCCTTTTATCCTTCCATCCATCCATCCTTCCATCCATCCCTCCTTCCTTCCTTCCTTCCATTCCTCCTTCCATCCATCCCTCCATCCATCCTTCCTTCCATCCATCCATCATTCCTTCCATCCCTCCATCCCTCCTTCCATCCATCCATCCCTCCATTCTTCCTTCCTTCCCTCCATCCTTCCTTTTATCCTTCCATCCATCCCTCCTTCCTTCCATCCATCCATCCTTCCTTCTATCCCTCCATCCTTCCATCCCTCCATACATCCATCCCTCCATCCTTCCTTCCATCCATCCCTCCCTCCCTCCCTCCATCCCTCCCCAGATCCCGGGAGCTCACATTCCCCTTCCCCCATCCAGGTTTGGTCCCTGCCCCCCGGATCCCCCCAACACAGCGGGATGGAAAAAGCAGAGGGATGCAACTCCTTCCAACCCATTTCCAGGGAATTACTGGGGCTGCCCCATCCCTGGAAGTGTCCAAGTGTTGTCATGCTGCTGGACATCCATGGAATCCCCACCCCTGGGAATGTTATCTTATCCTGTTGGACATCCATGGAATTCCCATCCCTGGGAATGTTATCTTATCCTGCTGGACATCCATGGAATCCCCACCCCTGGGAATGTTATCTTATCCTGTTGGACATCCATGGAATTCCCATCCCTGGGAATGTTATCTTATCTTGCTGGACATCCATGGAATTCCCACCCCTGGGAATGTTATCTTATCCTGCTGGACATCCATGGAATTCCCACCCCTGGGAATGTTATCCTAGACATCCATGGAATCCCCACCCCTGGGAATGTTATCTTATCCTGCTGGACATCCATGGAATTCCCACCCCTGGGAATGTTATCCTAGACATCCATGGAATCCCCACCCCTGGGAATGTTATCTTATCCTGCTGGACATCCATGGAATTCCCACCCCTGGGAATGTTATCCTAGACATCCATGGAATCCCCACGCTGGGAATGTTATCTTATCCTGCTGGACATCCATGGAATCCCCATCCCTGGGAATGTTATCCTAGACATCCATGGAATCCCCACCCCTGGGAATGTTATCTTATCCTGTTGGACATCCATGGAATTCCCATCCCTGGGAATGTTATCTTATCCTGCTGGACATCCATGGAATCCCCACCCCTGGAAGTTTTATCCCCTCCTGCAGCTCCTCCAGTCCCGATTTGGGCGGAATTCCCCGTTTCCGAGCCCAACACCCGGCGTGACACCGGGGAAAACTGGGATCTCATCCCAAAGCAGCTGCCAGGCGGGAGCTGTTCCAACCCCCAGGGATTCCCTGGCACTGCTCATCCCGCTCCTCTGCCCATCCAAA